GATGTCTGTCGGATATTTACAGATGTTTATCTGCGAAGGATCCTGAAGTATGCGATCCCTCGGAGTTCCAGCTTCAGATCCTTTTGCATACTTGCCGCATCTTTGGCGTATTACGTGGCAGATGTCAGTCGGATATTTACAGATTTTTCATTTATGCAAATTTGGGAATCTGATATACTCTGCCTGTAAATACAGGTTTGGCATGTAGGTAAGCCTTCAAGTAAAATAACTATATCTTAACATGTTTCCAATGGTTAGTTGTTGTTTTTTTGTCTTGCACTCCATTTAGTTTTTATTTGTAATACGTGAAGTGCTTTATATAACTATTTAAATCTGCTATAGGCTACAAATAGTTGGCTTCTAAGATCTTTAACATTTTAAGATCACCCAGTTTTTTACATCAAAATTAATGAGTCTTTAATTTTGGTTTATGTACCATCATCATGATGTACAAATCACAAGCTGGACCAGTAAGCACATTACCATTTCAATAAGAACTATGAAAAATCAGTATAATAAACAGTTTATGAAGCAGTCTAGTAAATACACAGTGGTTTGTATCTTCATAACACATACTAATGCAAACATATCATAGACATGAAAACACTGACCATGACTTTCTTAAAGATTTTCTTTTTTTATTAAAACACACACACACACACACAAAAAACCCCTACGGTTTCATTTGTAAAAAATACAACCTACGGTTTCATTTGTAAAAAAAAATAGTTGTTGGTGCCTCTTGGAGGCTGCCTCAGGCTGCATTTCCCACTGGGCACTCTGCAATGTAGCCATCCATTCTGCAGGGCTTTGTTTGAAGCTCAGCAAGTTTGTACTGGCATCTGTCTAAAATGTCCTAGTTTTGCTGCTCTCCCATTCAGGTGGATAAACTTTCCATGTGTCTTTGTCTTCGTGTCGGTCTCGTACTCATAGGCATGTTGGCACCCCCTCATTCTTCATCATTTAAAATGGAGCGACCAACAGACCGCCGTGAATTCAAAAGCTTCAACAGAAAACACAGAAAACACAAGGTCAATAAGAGCACTTTTTAAAATGTAATCATAACAAAAAGCAAATGCATCCATATCTCAATTCTTAGATTCTCAAACAAAAAGTTTACGGATGTTCCAAAAACCTTTTTTTTAATCTTCCCATATTGAATATTTTTAGTAACTCATATCTACCAATAGATGGCGCTTTAACACATCTTTACACGAGGACCCAGAATTTAATTAAAAGTTTTACTTCTTCTGCATTGCCAGAAACTATAGTTTCACACATCTACAATGATGTAATGTGAGACTAAAGCAAATCAGATATATTTTGCATTCTAATTCTAATTCTGTTTCCTCTAGGATTTTTTTTTATTTTTAGCTAGTTTAGTTTTAGCTTAACCTCAGTGCTAACAATGGCTCTTGGCTTGGTAGCCATTGGGGGTCCTCCCCCAGAAAATTTTGAATAAAATAGATGCCATTTCCTGCATTCTGGTGTATTTAACATCTAGTTTTACCTACATATGTAAACTATTCAATAAGTATTTTAGAGTTAATGGCAGAACAAGAAGTACCCTGAGACAAACATGCAGCATTAACACAGTGTGAACATTATTCAAGAATTGTTTCTATAAGAACATTATCAAATATTTTATGTGAACGTAAGATACTAGCAATAACAGCATTGTAAGAGGGGGACAGTTGAACCCGGAGGCCTCCACCTCTGTTTAATGATGGACGATTTCTTTTCACAAAGATGGCCTCCTTCTCTCCTCTCTCAGACCATCGTTCCTCTCTATCAAGGAGGAACGATGACTGAGTTTGTCTCAGCTCCTCAGACTGAAGAAATCTTTTTGATACAAAGAAGAATCTGTCCAGAGGAATTAATTTATTGAGCCTGCATCAGGACAATAATCTGTAAAGCTTTAGTATATTTGATAAGGAAAACTCATTTTGACTTAACCAATTAATATATTTTCAATGGCAAAATATGCAGGCTTATTTCATATTACTTTCATTGCAGGCTTTCTGTATTTATTGTCTTACTTTTAATGATAAAAATATAACGAGTCACTACTGTCGTTTAGAAAGTGTTTATATTGGAACTAATACTTGTTCACACACAGTTACAACAGCTCACCTGTTCCTTTATACTGACAGGAACAATCCCCTCATCACTACTGGCTCTGCTCCTGACACAATCACATTTTAAAAATTGTCATAACTCAGAACAAATCTCCCCTTTTTACAAAGCCTTATGATCAATTCAGGCCAGTTTCATTAAAGGGTTGAATCATTTAACATCTCAAGACACTTTTCATATACAGCAGGTCTTCACCAGACTCATACTCTTCATTATATAATTATAATAATATTCAGTCAATGAGTACTCTTACCTGCCCACTCTGTGCTGCGTGATGTGGAGCTGCATCTTGGGTGCTACAAGACAAAGATTCAGTTATGTGGCGTTGCATTATAATATTATTTAAATTATATAACAGTATGTTAAGTCACAATGCCACACACCAACAGTTCATTGACTTGATAACTTGAACGGTGTTTTGCAGGAAAATCCAGGAAAGTATTCTAAGTTGATTTGTAGTTCTAAACATATTTAGTGGTCATTTTTTGTCCAACATTGATTACTTCCAGCCTAGATCACAATTATATTAGCAAATATCCAAATATGTAACTTAGACAATGACATCATAAAACAGCTTTTAGAAAAGCAAATAGACACCTCTCACTGAGGAGTTGCCCAACAGTGGTCAGCAGCCACTGGTTATAGATGTCTCCCATTCCCCCTGTATGAGTGTCCATTTTATTCTGCTCAGTACAACTTTTCAAACAGCCTCAACTTGACGTGACGCTGACAACGCCATGTTGTAAAAGGTCGAGTAACACACCGGTAAAACTACATATTTTACGCTCTAACCACATGCTTGGTCAAAAATAATTAGAACTAAATATGTGAAGCAGCAACTTACTGAAAATCGTAGAGCCGCTTGGCTTTGAATCAAACACGTCGCGTTATCCGAGAAGGACCTCGTTTGTGTTATCCCGCCAATGTAATACCGGAAGTGTCTTCTTCTTCTTCAGTTAAACGGCTGTTGGAAAACGGTGCATTACCGCCACCAACCTGTAAGGAGTTTGGCGACGTGGACAATTTAATTTACAGTTAAGACTCAAAAGGGTTTACTTGTGTGTTTTATCTGTAAATTAAATTGTTTCATGGACTTTATTTTTTCATTTAAATAGCCTGCATCACACTTTCAAGAGACGTTTACCTAACAGAATAAATGAAAAGAAGAAAATGGACAACCATATGTTTATATTGTTGAGGTTTGTAAAGTCAGTAAAATTAAATATTTTATCATTATTGATGAAAAGTTGACATGAAAACCTCACATAAACTAAGAATAAAAAATAGCTAAATCTGTTGAATTGCTGTACAAAAAAACCAATATAGGATGTCACAGTGAGCTCATCCATGAAGTCATTTGCTAATCTGAAGAAGTTCCAATCTGTAGTTGTTCCAATCTGTAGTTGTTGGCTCTATTTTATATTTAAAGTATATGATTACAATTATAAATACCATTAGACTAAATGTGATTCCACATGTGATTATCATTGCCATCTTAAATGATCTTACAATTTTCTTACTTCTTTTGTTTGTTTTTAGGTCGTATGTGACCCATCACATCAAAATGAGGATTAAGTCAAATTTGGTCAAAATGAGCCCATTACATCTTCAGATTTGTGGCTTTCAAAGCTATATTTTGATACTGGATCATTCTGATATCATAAGGGGATTCAGAGATATGACTTAATTTGGCTTGTTGGTTACAATAATACATTAGGCTATTATTTGGTCTGAAACCTAATTGTTTAAAATTTTAATAAGAAT